CAGACCAACGAGGAACACTGTACCTTTAAACGAGGAGGCGCCGAACGAGGGAGCGAGGGCAGTGAAAAGGCTAACTCGCTGTGGAGGACAGGAGTTTAATCTAATTTAAGTGGAGGGTGTCCGTCTGCGGAGTTGTTTTTCGGAGTGTGGGAATAGGGGACAGAAGCGGCCCCCTTGAATGGTCTGTCCTGCTCCAGAAGCAGTGGGGAGCCCCCTGGACGCCGGTGATCCAAAGCCGGCCTTGAAAGGAAGATTAGAGACACGCTCTGATTTGCAATTCACACGAATGCGCCCCGTGGAAGCTTTGCTAATATTTCAAACCCCATTTCAAGGGAAGTGTCCTTAAAATAGCTGCCTGGATGGCACTGAGGCAACCGAAGTCCGCTCCGGTCACCCGTTTTTACGACGTGGGAGCTTTTCTTTTGTGTTTGTCTGGTCTTCACACTCCTCCCCGCAACCAGCATCTTAGGACGAGTGCTTTTAGTCGGAATTAAAACTGTGCTGCCGGCTGAAGTCGCCGCAGCTTGCGTCGGCTTCTCTGGTGGTGCAAACTGTGTTTTCTTTCCAGAGAATCACTTCTGATGACTGAAGGTATTTTCCTCGGAGAAAAATGGGGCAGGGGGACGAGGATGCCTACTTGGTTAGAAAAGAGAATTTCCCATGCTCGCTCGCTCTTTTTTTTTTTTTTTTTTTAACCTGATAATCAGTTTTTGCAGAAACATGACACAACAGGAGGTCAGGGGAAATTATGTTTATTGGCACCAGAGACCCCTCTGCCTGGCCGGCGATGATTAGGAAATAGATCCTATTTCGTTCTTACTGGGGAGGAGAATTGAAAAAGTCCCTGATGAAATACAAATATCGATGACATTAGAAGGTAAAAGAAACGACACCCATCTCAGACCCAGGGGACCTCTTGAAAAGGCACTGAGATAACCCAAATCACTCTTTATCTTAAACTGGACCAGCACTGTTTTTTTTTAAAACAAGCTTTGCTGATACTCTACAAGTTTGCTCTCACCACGAGCTTGTAACGTGCTAAGTCTAAGGCTTAATTTCTTTCCATTGCTGAAAGTGTCAGTACTTTGTTTTTTATCTCAAAGAGATTATGTGGGTTGTCTCTAATCTCGTTTCAGAAAAACTTGAACGGCACTTATAATTTTCACGATTGTAACATCATAAGGAGAGATACAACTTTGATTTTTAGCAATATCCGTGTCAAAGTATTTTATACTTTTGACTTTGCTGGTGTGAACGAAACTCGGCCTCTCTTTCAATTCTGTTCCATCCGAAAAGTATTTAGTTCTCGTTCAAAATCTTGCCCAACTCCTGAAATATTCCCTTAAAAAAAACAAAACAAAAAAAACTTATACTTTTCCGGGAGAATGTCTGCAAGGAACCGAAGGTAGCTAATGTTTAAGATAGCCATCCAAGATATGCTTTTAGATTGCTGGAGTAAAAAATATATGTATAGTTAGATACATAGATATTCTTTGCCCCTGCATGTTACTTGAAATCAGGTTTAATTATAAGTTTCATCAGAAACCTTTGCTCAAAATTTTAGAGGCCTAATAAGATTTTCATTAATTTAAACATATCACTATTCCCACGACAGCCCCAAATGCCTTCTTTCCCCTTTCATCCGTGGTTAAATATGTAAATAAAATGTCTAAAGTCATTCTTCAAAGAAGACAAAAGAAAAAAGAGCCGAGCGAGGGGAGAGACAGCCATAAAATTCCTCCCAATTCTCCATAACATTTGCCAGAGGGGGGTCGGTAGCCAGCCAGGGCTGAGCAGCGGGGGACCTCGCAGCTCCACAATCACACATCTCAAATCCCACACACAGGAGAAAAAATAAAATAAAATATCTTTTCAGCTGGAGCCATCAAAAGGCCCTTTTCATTTATTAGTTACAGAGTTATCTTGCAGTGGCTGATTTCTCAAAGCCCTCATTTTTCTATAATAACGTCTATTTGTTGGTTTCCATCTCAGCTGGGCAGAGCGCAGCACTTCTGCAGACATTTTTATAAAAATGAGAGAAGAAAGCAATCTGAAGTGGCGATAGCTAAAATAATGGGTCTGAACATGGCTGAATTAAAATCACACATAAAAGATCAATTAGGAGGCATTTTCTCAAGCAGCCCACACCCTGCTCCTGGTGGCTGGCGTCCTCCCTCCCCCCACATTTATGTCCCCAATAGTTTCTGAGGGAGAGAAACAAAAAGGCAAAGGAAAAAAAAAAATGGTGCCCAATGAAGGACCTTTGCAAGGAAAATTCCAGAAAAGCCAAGCGATGTCCACTGAGTCTTTTTTAACTTAAGGTTTTGAAAATAACTCACTAGACTAAAACAAACAAACAGACAAAAAGAAAAGAAAACAAACAAAACCGAAAAAAAAAAAACATAGTAAGAAAAATGGCAGCCTTTGAAAAAACATGGGATTTTTTTTACTCAAGAAATAACACAGTTGAAAGTGGTTGTTCTGACTGAACTGGTCTTTTCTACTTTCTCCTCATTCCAACTTTCTCCAACACATCACACGGACATCCAGACAATAATACAGGGCCTGAGCGCCAACCTACTTATTAGTTCTGGGACCTTGGGCAAGTCCCAGCCTCAGTCTTCTGGGTGTTTCCTGGATGGATAGAGGATGGATGGGTGGTGGATGGATGGATGGAAGGATGGATGATGGATGGATAGATGGACGGACGGATGGATGGATGATGGATAGATGGATGGATGGATGGATAGATGGACGGATGATGGATGGATGGATAGATGGACAGATGGATGGATGATAGATGGATGGATGGATGGATGAGTGGATGGGAGGATGGGTGGGTAGATAGGTAGGTGGATGGGAGGGTGATGGGGAGATGAGTGGATATGTGAGGTGTCTCAATTCCTTACAGAAAAATCTACAACTTCTTTGAAGTAAAGGCCAGTATTCTAAGAAGCCTTCTCAGAGTAAATGTCCCACTTCAGCCACCGCTTCCGGGGAAGAGCAGAGTCTCGCAACAGCGCCTCCTACAGACGGCTGGCAACCCGCGGCTCCTACCACCAGGCCCAGCACGCACTCCCAGGGATGTCTGCACACCCTGCCACCGCTCCCGTGTCAACCTGAAAACGCGGGCAGGGAAAAGAAGGCCCGTGTGCACCGGGCTCGCTGCTCCCACCTCGCCTCCGCCCGGGAAAGCCCTCCAGCTGCCCCTCTAGACGACACCCTGGGAGTTTCGACAGAACTTTAAAAAGATCCAGACCTGGAGGGCGTCTAAGAGGAGAGAGACGCGGCCGCCGCCCAGGGGTGCTGTTTATTTAAGGGTTAATACGCGATGCAAGGTGAAGCTCTGAGAACATTCTTGGCCGCCAAGGCGTGGGTGGGTGGGTGTGCGCGCCCATCGCGCATGCCCCGTGCCGGAGAAGGGGCAAGGGGCGTGGTGTCCTAAGTGACTCTGTCACAAACTGGCCCCAATCCGAGGGTATTAGGCCGGGACGCTCCGTCTCCACCTTCAATGAAAACTGAGTGGCGTGCGCGCCTCCACGCCCCGCTCCCCACCCCACAACTGGAAGTTGAGGATCCCGGGATCGAGCTGGAGCAGCGTTCTCCCTCCTCCCGCCCCCACCCCGATCCGCATTACCTTATGGGTCTATAGCCAAAGGAGGGCGCAGGCCGGGCAAATCACTCGCCAAATAATATAAATACTCGACGAGCGAATGACTTCCTATAATAAATAAACCCAGCCGCCTAGAAGGAATCACCAGCCCTGCCTGGCGCGACGCCCCTCAGCTCCGCGGCTATGTTGGGGGCGGGGTTCATTATTCTACGTGCGGGACCCCCACTTCCCAGGGATGCAGGGGGGACGTCAGAGTCCCAGGAGGCGTCCCGCCCCTCCCCCTCCCCGCCTCCTTTGCGGAGACCTCGCTTGGGCGGCCCTAAAATCCGGATTCCCAGAGCCCCTCCCCCCGGCCCTCCGCTCTTCTCTTTGAAATTTCAAAGGAAGCCCCTCCCCGGAGCCGGAGCCGCGAGCGCAGGCCTGGTGACTCCCAGCCTCGGGACGATGCGGGCAGGTTTACAAGCTAAAGGGCCACTTTATGGCCAAGGCTATAAAACGCAAATCGCACCGCGCTTTGAAAGCGCCCTCTGCCCGGGGCCCACCATAAAAACCAGCGAGGATGCGCCCCCAGCCCCCTGCCGCGGACACCCCGCCCCCTTCCCCGGCCAGTCTCCGAACTTCCCGTAACCTCGGCGCCCTTGGGGTTCTCTGGGAAAGGGGGCGAAGGAGGGAGGCAGCGAGAAGAGCGGGGTGTCGAAGACAATCCCGGGGGTTCCCCCCCGGAAAGGGGGGGGCAGGCGGGAGGCAGCGAGAGCAAAGTTGGTGGCCGGCGGAGAGAGCTCGGAGGAGCGGCGGGCGGGACAGACGGAGGCGCCAGGCGGCGACACGGGCGGGATAGC